AGATATTTTGACAATGTATTAAAATTCATAAATCTTCTTTAGGTTATCGATCAAAAGAAGTTCTATACATATGGTATGCATTATTGATATATGACAACAAATATTTTTGGGTAATTTGTAGCCTATCAAGCGATTACAAATGCAAATATATAATGATAGTCTAAATGATTTCATAATCATGTTGATGATATTTATAGTTCAGGATGAAATTTTAAAATATAAGAAAATTAAGTAATAAGTACTAATACAAAAAGAAAAATCTCGATCAATATTAAGTAGAATACAAGCGATAGCAGACTTATCTATTTATATTATTAGTTATGATGGTATATCATAATAATTTTTCTAATGTTGGCTATTATTATTGTTAGACATTTGAAAAATGATATGAGTTCTTTCAAAAGTTCAATATATGAGCATTTAGTACTATAATTACAATTTCAGAAAAAAAAATTTAGTTCTGGATCTAATGACCATTGCATTTCCACATATTTGTATCGATCACGAATATATACTACACATCTCTCCGGATAATCTTGACAATAGTTATATAATCAATAAGTTACTATCTACGATCTAATCTAATGGACTCTAAACAATAGTATCAACTGTGATTGATTTCATAGGTTAGTTTGCTTTTAAGTTCACCATATTTACGTTATAGTTTTTATCTTATAGATATTGTTCGTATTCATATTAATCATTATCGTCACTCGTTGATTGGAACAAGAAAATAGATTATTTACGATTTCTTACGACAACTAGCGGAATTTGATTATGTTGGATCGTACGATTATCGTTCATTGTTTTCTTATTATATATATATATATATATTATTGTCTATACGATAGCACATAACAAAAAAAAAGAAATGGATATCGATGAAGTACAATATTTATCTGAAAATGAACTTATTTCAGTTGTACCTAATTTTAAACATCCTGAAATTCATTTAATACGTGGATCTGTTGGTCCATTTTTACCTTTAGTTCCATTACAAGTTCCTATGTGGATGGTTTGTTATTTATTTAAAACTATATATATATATTTTATTCTATTGAAATCTTTTCATAGGCAATTCATTTAAAAGAAAGTCACCGTTGTCGATTTGTTTGTCCAGAATGGTTAACACTTGATTCAGTACAAGAATTACTTAAACAAGAACAACAACAAGATACATTTACACCAATGCCAAATCCATATGTATTTATATTAACACAAACTATAATGAATGTTGCTTTAGAAGATATTCCAAATGGTGATCAAATTCGTTTATTAATGAAAGATTTATGGGATTCACGTTTAGCAAAATTACGTTCATCTATTGGTAATTTAGCACGTAGTGGTGCACTTTATGCTAAAGTAACACATTTAACACAAGTTGAAATATGTTTAATAAGAAATTTTCTTAAAACATCATTGAAACATATTGCACAATTACAAGATGCTATAGTAGAAGAATAAAAACTTAATAAATATCAATTATCTTTATTAATAAATAAAAGTTCTTATTAAAATAGTATTACTATTTTAGAGAAAAAGAAAAAATTAGACAATGAAAAGATATATAGGACTTACAATGCTGTATGTTTTATGAAAACGGATGGAAATTAATATTTATTTGTTTAAAATTCAATTAAAGGTTATCATTTAAATATAATGTCAAAAATATTTGAGGGTTTATGTATATCAAAGCAAGATTAGCTTTATTAAGAAAAATCTTATTTCAGTTAATGTATTTCAATTAATTCATAAAAAATAATTGGATTATAATCATGTATAGGTTATTCTAAGAGAAAAATGAGATTAAGTACAAGGTTGTTTTTTTTTCTCGCTAGTAGCGATAACTAGCATATCGTATATTTATCAGACAAGTCTGATTGTATAATAATCAAGGTACAATACCCTTTTAACAATAACAAAATGAATTGTAAACAAGTAACACTCGTTTGAAGACTCGCTGAGCTCTTTCTCGTCGCAATTACGTTGCTAGACAACTACCAAGCTATTGATTTATATAATTAATCAAAACAGAAGTCAAGTTCGAATTCTTCGACTCCGATTACCTTTCGGTCAACCCTCATAAAAAAAATTCCTTTTATATCTTTACCTAAGTTTTGGATGAATCAGTGAAGTGCGGACATACAAGAAAGCAAATATTTTTATTTCTGCTGGACTCTTCTCTACGAGAAAGAGAATTAAGTTCGAAGTTATAGAACTTTGTATCTATTATTAACTTGTAGTTCCTTTTAAAATCGGTATCATTTATAGAGTAAAACTCAATGGGTTTATTAATATGAAAAAAAGAATAATAACAATCACTAAAAAAATAAAGATTTTTGAAAAATCAATCGAAATTGATAGAAAGAATTTATATACAAGGAATATCGTTCTATATCTATGATAAACAAGCAAGTGTTTTAGTTAAATTGAATGAATAATCATTCCATGAATGTGTTGGTTCTTCTTGATATTTATTTGTAAATGAAAAACGAAATATACGAGATTTATTTGTAATAGTTTGCTCTGCTATTTCATCATCATCATTATCATTTACATCAATATGATTTGAAAGAAGTGTTAAATTAAATTGTGCATTAATATGACCTAAAACAGATGCTTGACGATAATAATCACATGCCTAAATTAATTTATAGAATATACTTTTTTTTCTATTTAATTATAAATAAAATTTACTTTAGCACGATCTTTTTCAACACCAATACCACGTTCATAACAAACACCGAGATTATACAATGCTGCAGCATTTTTACCATTTTTTGCACTGATTTGAAGTGTTTCAATACCCAGTTGAACATTTCCATTTTCAATTGCTTCTATACCTAATTGATTATCAATAATTGACATTGTTTCTTCATTAAATTCCGATAAATTTTTTAATGCATTCATATAGGTTTCATCTTCTTGAAGTAATAAATCAAGAATATCTTCTTTTTCATCAACAGGTGGTGGTGTAGACGTTTGTTGAATTTCTCTAACAATCGATTCGATTTTTGGAGGTTCAAGTGGTTGGATAACATGAGGCTTATTTGTCAACTAAATTAACAAATCTTATTTTTCTCGATTTTTTTTATTTTAAATTTCAAACCTGTTGAAATGAAATCTTCTGTAAACGTTCTAATATTTTCTCATAATTTAGTGGAGATGAAAATTGATTATTTTTTATAACATCATGAATATCATATGGATGTTTTGTTAGATTATTTTGTGTTCTAAAAAAGAAAATTTCGTTTCATTAAAATTTATTCAATAATTATAATTACTCTTCTCGGTTTGATTCATCATCTTTTTTACAAACAGTTGTAACCGGGGCAATGATATCTTGTGGACAACGATGAGTAGCTACGTTACGAAAGGCACGATATATGTAGTTAGCTAGACGCCACATGATTTGAGTTTTTCGTTTGGTTACGAATTAAGATTCGTTACCTTTAAATGGATAAGCCGTAGAATTTCGAACGGCTATCCATTTTAATTGATTCAATATTAATATTTTAAATCTAAAAAGAAAATTTTAAATAGACATGTGATCTCTTTAAAAGTACCTTATGAAATATAAAAGCAAAATGTAGTGCCGACGATAACGTTTCTTACTTATTTGTTTGCAGATCGGGCCACGCGCGACATGACGTCATTATTTTTTTTTTGCCTCATCATAAACATATTTTGTCCTTTTCTTCAGCGGGTAGTAAAGAGAAAAGAAGTATGAGAAAAAAAAACGTATGGAGAAGAGAAGAAAAAAAACAAAGACAGGTTCTACCCAGATTTGAACTGGGGTCGCTGGATTCAAAGTCCAAAGTGCTAACCGCTACACCATAGAACCACGGTATACTATCTTCAAGATATTGTATTTCTCGCATCGAAAAAGAGCAATTCTTCAAATGTCTACAACTCGTTCCAGTACTATATTGGTAATTCGTAATAATGGTATGGCATATTCAATATTAGAATAAATCAAATTTTTATTGCTAATATATACAATTTTGAATAAGTTATTTTATGATTAAAATATTGAATGTTTTTATCAATTAGATCGATTATTTGAATATTACTGAGAATATCTTGTAAAAACAATGATCTTAAATAATGCTTTGAATTCTCAAAATAACCCGTAGACTTCATTTATCAAAAGTGATGTCTCTAAATGAATAATAAATTTATATTCCCCGAGATTTTGTCTAAGGTTAATCGATATTAAATAAAAAAAAGAAACCATTATAAAATGCGCAATTTCTATTGAAAAAAAAGTTCTCTTCACAAAGCATTTAATTTTTGCTTCGTCATCATTTTTGTGCATGTGCTATTTTTAAACGGGAATATGTTTTGGGGCCAGTAAAATAATTGAAATATCAGTAAATATATTAATTGGTCGGTTTTCAAAAAAATCAGTAAACAATGCAAAAGTGGTCAGTAGATTTTGTGGAAGTAGCAGTGAAAAAATATGACTTTTGTCAGTAAAAAAAAGAAAAGTAGACCATCTTTGCGCTAATTTATATTTTTTACTTTCCATCTCATTTTATTTACTGATCGTTTAAATTTTATTATGGATGTATCAAATTAATTACTGACCATTTTAACAATTCACTGATTAATCATTACTTTACTGACCATTCAATAATTCTACTGGTTTTTGAATTTTTTGTTTTACAGACCGTTTCATTTATTCTACTGACCACTTAAATGATACCCTTTTTAACCTAATCTTGCGTGTACTCCCTTGTCTCATAAGTTCGAATATATTCACATCAATATCAAGAACACTTAAACTTTTGAGATGTTCAAGAGTATTGTCTCTTATAATATACTACATAGTGAGAATGTATCAAATTGAACCAGGCAAAGTCCTTCAGAAAAGAGTGAATCCAGGCCACGCTCATCTATATATATAGAATAGAAATAATCGAACCATTTTGACGGAAACGATTTTATGCATCACTCTACATGTTGAAAGAAAATTCTATAGGACAATTATTAGATCATTACTTTCGAAGAACATATTAGATGAAAGTCAAACTATAGATTCGAGCATGTATCAAAATTTCTCATATGTATTTCCTTACATTTGATTATTTACATTCCATAGTAAATACTAATTACAACAACATTTTGCCTCGAATTCAGATCTACTGAATTCTAGTTTATAATAGAAGTCAAGTATAATACGATCATTATACAATCATTACCAAACTATTTGAAGACATTAGTAGCCAATACAAAGGAACATATTTTTAAAGCATTACGAATGTACCAGTTCAAATTAGAACCCGACAGTTTTCACCAGGAATACAATAAAATAGCTTTTCTATATCGAAATAAATTCTTCTGAACTAGATTTAGATAACAATTCAAGTTGTATATACTATCACGAATTGAATAATCTATCGATTTACACTTTCAAGTACGTATAAACATATACAATGTAAATTAAATGTTATTTCGTTTGATAATTTTATCTTATTCCTTAACACGTTCAATCAACATATAAAATTCAAGATATGGTGCAATAACTCATTTATTCTCAATAGATGTCACTTAAAATAAATTTAAAATAAAACGATTTTAAATTTTCTTAATTTGATTTAAAAAGTAAAATAAAGTTAATTGAATTAAATAAAATTCAATTTTAAACTAAATAAGAATGAATTTTTGTATTGGATATTGTTCATTCTTTTCTTTCTAAATCAGCTCAGCTGTTCTTCTTTTTCACATAGTGTTTTTTGTTTGTTGTGGATACATGCATAAAAATTTTTCTCTCATTATTTTAATGTTGAAATAAGAAAGAAAAGAAAGAGAAAAAAAAACTTACTCGTTTTTTTTCTATATTGTCATTCTTGTCGCAATATCTCAAGGTTTTTCTTTTAAATTTAAAAACACAAAACAATTTTCGACATTGACATACCTTCTTTTCTTTTTAGATTCGTCTATGTTATCATCTTAGCAAATATTTTTAACTATGGTAAGACTTGTTTTTTGATTAATTTTAATTTTAAATGATTATCTTTCGCTTTTAGATTGATGATCGAACTCTTCGCGCTTATTTACGAAATAATTCAGCATGGAATCTAGATGAAAGTGCACCAGGACCACCAATGGATCAGTATAATTTATCATCAAGTGGTCATGGAGATCGATTTCTTAATAGTAGTGTTCATTTTCCAGCTGAAATGAGGTATAAAAAAGGAAAAACCCAATCATATGATTATAAAGATAAATTTCTTTTTGTTTTTTTTAGATCAGCAAATCTTAATGAAATGGTATCAAGTATTATTGATGAAAATTCAGAATATCATCAAAATGGAATGTTACCAACATTTCCTCAATATCAATCAGCATCAATGATGATGCCACCTGCTTGGGCGAATGATGGACAGTCGGAATCGCATATGCAATATATGCAACAAATTCGAAAGTAATTGAAAGAAAAGGAATCTATCAAACTTCGCATATTATTTCTGTTTAATAAAATATCGATAGTTTTATCTAAAAATCAAGATCAAACCACTGATACTCCTCGACATTTCATTTACAGGGTATCTTCTCTCCCAGAAAACGACTATTATGTCTTCTGAAAGACTTCGCGGAGAGAAAAAAGTTTTATGGTATTGTTTTTTCTTTGAATACTGTAAAGTACATTTTTATCGTGTTACTGGGAATTATTTTTCATCTAACTTACGTCTAATTCATCGTATTCTCATCTAAGATTGATTATTTTCTTTTTCTTCTAGTATTCCACCTCGACAAGCAAAATATCTTTCTTCAAATCTTTCAGAAAGTGGTCATCCACGTAATATTCCTGGTAAAATCTTATTAAAATGATTCTCCGAATTGCAAATAACGTTTTTTTTCTCTTCTTAGATTCATGTTCAATGCATCCAAATCCTCCGAAAGATATACACGTCTTAATTCGTAAAGTTGATCATACTGGTATCAATCCTCATATAACAAATATTTCATTACAACAATTTCGTCAGATGATCGGTTTACAATATAGTTCAGGTATAAGTGATCGACGTATACCGTCATCCGTACGTACATCAGATAATCGACGTCCATATTCATCAACAAATTCTAATCCTAATCATCAACCATTATCATCATCATCATCAAGTTCATCATCATCAGTACCAATATCAAATACTCGTATAATAAATGGTTTTAAACAACGAACACAAGATCCAATGTTTTATTCAAATACTGATCGACAACATTTACCAATATCACCTCGTATGTTGTTTTATCGATAAAATTTATTTTAATGTAAATCATATTATTTTAGATGATCCATTATCAATGAATTTTTCTGGTGCTAATAATACATCAACAATAAATGATACTAATTTAACATCACCTGTAACTACATGTCAAGATATTAGGTAAATATAATAAAAAAAATCGTTCTATTTAGGAAATCTAGTGTAATCTTTCATTTAGTTATTTTCGATCTAACAGGTACTTGTTTTCTTTTCTTATTCTCAGGCCTATTTGCTAACCTCTTTGCACATATTTGATAAACTTTTCTTCTACTGTTTTTGATTTACTTGCTTTTATTGATTTCATAGTACTTTAATATAACACTTGTTTTTTTCTCTATTTATTTTAGACGAACAGGTGTTGCTAATACATTACGTAAGTTAATTTAATTTTTTGAAATATCTTATTATATTATATTTTATTAGATATTGCTATTGAAAAATGTTATGAACAATTAAATTATATTCGAGATAGTTATGCAGAAGTAAGCATTGAAATGGTGTTTTCTTTTCTCTTGAATTAGTTAATAGAATGTACAACAGTTGGATACTACTAGAGTTAAGCGCAGTACAAAATAGAAATTTCAAATTATCGTAAAAACTTCATTAATATTAGCGAGAAATTATTCAGAGAAGATAACAAAATAAGTATTGATTTATACAATGGCGACGAACATTATATATGCGTATAGATAAGGATATTTAACAAGTGCTTATAATTCTACTTGACACATTACACCAAAGCAAACTGTAGTTAACCAGAATTTTTGCCATAAATAGCATTTGGTATTGTTATATATTATCCTCATTCATTTTTACATAATACTGTGCATGTGATTAAATCACATGTATGTAAAATGAAGTTTGAAGGACGTGAAAAGAACAACGTTTCTATTAAATATATAACTATATTCACATTGGAACTAATTGTCACTCTCCTATTCCGTTTGAAAATGATATGAAATAGGCATCTATGTTAATAAGTTAGACTGGAATATACCGAGTAGGAATCGGTATAGTTATTACTGGAAACTGAAGTAGTCACATCTTCTGTTGTTGAAGTTACAATATTCGATGTTTTACAATATCATCGAAAGTTTCGGAGATTCGATTAAAAGAATCTATATCTGATTAGAATGATCAAATAATTCATGAGTTGTATATATATATGACAAACCGTAAACAAAATAATTGATTACATCAATCTTTAATAAGGAGTTAAAATCAATTATAACTGGATTAATGTATAGTTATCGTCAAGATCTTGCAATTTTCATGAAATGGTTAATGTAGATTAGATATGAACTTGACAATTCCAGTCGCTGACTTATAAAATAAAAGGTTTTACATATCTACTCATATGGCACTACATATATAAATAGAAATCTTTATGTTAATACAATATTATCTCGAAAATTTGCAAACAGTGCAGATATATTGGTTTCTGTAAAGTTTTAAGATTAAATCCGATTTAAGTGTACCTATATATATGTTTTAGTACTGCTTATGAAATGATCGAATCCTAGCTAAGTTCTCCGTATCCAATTTCGCTAAATAAGATTATGAATAACACAGAGAAACAAACCGTATTTCTATATTAGATATTATGTCTACAGTTCGAACTCAAGAACTTATTATAAACCACATATATGTTTCATTGGATATACTTTTTTTTAGACGGAATCAAAAATTGGACTTCAAACTTTACATAAATCACCTTCACCATCATTGATGAATGATTTAACAAATTCAAATTTTTCAACTTTATCAAATAATCCATCACGTGTTGATCGATTAATTGCTGAATATCATTATGAATATACTCGAGTAAATAATTTATTTAATTTTAGTTCTAAAACAAAATAATATTTTTAATAGATACTTCGTTTATATGAACGAATTAAAGAAGGTTTAAGTATTCAGGATATTGAAGCAACAGGACAAACACTTGATGAATGGTTAAATACAATAAATAATGTTCAAGATCGTCGTCGACAAGAAATTGATAATGCAGCTGAAAAATGTCGTTCAGGTGAACCACGTTTACCTGATGAAAAAGGTTTGGTTAATTTATTTATTTATTTGTTTAAATTTTAAAATAAATTTTGTTTCAGATGTTTTACAATTAGCTGAAGCTTTACGTATATTACGTATAACAACACGAAAAATTCGAACTGTTCTTTGGTATTGGTTATATTGGTCAACAAATTCTATGACAAACAAAATTCCATTAGTTGCACGTCAACAAGAAGAGCAATCGAATGGCGAATTTTATCCATCACCACAAGTACTTAGATTAGATTAGGCACATTAAGAAATTTAGTTTTTGTTCTCTTCTACTTATTAGAATAAGCAGTTTCTGTCTATATTCATTGAGTGTCATTTCGTAGGCTGATTTTTATGAAGTTCGATAGGATTGTATTAGCATTGCATTATGATTACCGAACATGAAGAGGAAATATTAATTTAATGTATTATAGGAAATAATTTTAGACACTAACAAATTCTGGAATAATATTTTTGTGTTTTTTAATAGATACTTGACAAGTTCAGCTCAGCGAAGAGTCATAAAGTAAATGTTGTTGAAACGTTCTCTGCCTATCTAAAACTCTATTGTGAACTTTGACCTAGAATACAATTACAGTAAACAATATTTGTCAAACTATTCCCTTGAACCTCAAATCATCATCATGTATATTAGTTCGATGAGACACATATCGCAGAATAATAATTATATATATCTATTTAAGCTGACAATCATATCGCCGTGTTTTAGTTGACTTCTCATTAACACCGGCGAAATTTTGTATTCTTTGTATCACTCTCTATTCATGTACACGTTTTTTTTATTTAGAATACATTTAGTTTATTCTATCCTGCGACAAATAATGAAGATGAAACAGCAGCTGCATTAGAATCTGATGAACAACGAAAGCTTTTATTCAAAACTTCAGCATCAACAAACGAAAACAATAAAGAAAATGAATGTAATCATTAACTCATTTTTATCATTACAATCTCAACAGCATTTTTTTTCTCTTCTTATTTCACTCCATCCGTCCACATATATATCTATAAATATATATATGCATTTTTTTTGTGACACAACAAAAAGCTTCATCTCATTTTTTTTCTTTTTCTTTTTCTTATGCCGGTAGTCTGTACATATATACATATATATATATATCTCAGAATTGTTCATTGGGCTTTTTTTTGTGATAGGAACAGTTGAGAATACTGTCATATTCATTTGTTGCTATTGTTGTTATTACACTTCTCACTAGTCGATTTACTTTTTTCTTTTTCTCTTTTATTTCTTCTATTCGAAATGAGAACATAAAAACAAAATATGAATAAAAACGCATCCGGTGACGTATGTGTTTGTTTATTAAAAACTATTTTCTTTT